TTTTAACAACTAATTTTTGGAATAAAAAAAAAAATCATGACGTTTTCCCAGTCAAAATAGCATAAAGATCTTGCTACAACATCGGTGAATCTCTACAGTACTGTGTTGCGTTCACCACGAGGTCACTGAACCGTATTAACATATTTAAATGAGCCCACGTGTAAATGGAAACATGGCGGATATTGAATCGTAGCATTTACATTTGACCGAAATCATTTGTTTACGATGAAACTAAGTTGAATATTACTTCAAATTCATAAAAATTCAACGAATTAATTTTTTGTGCGTTATTATAATCATTACTGAATAATAATCAACAATTGCAATACTTCGAAAACAAGTAAGTTATTCACTTGCGAAACACAGAATGACCAGATTGTGCTACCGTGATCATTTGCTACCGGTACTAACCACTAAGCAATGTATTCGTGTTTGTATTTATTTGAAACTTCTTTTAGAACATACTTTAAATACTCTTCGTTATCAACAAAATTATAAAAAAATAATGCATACTACATTATGTGATTTGGGGGGGGGGGGATTCAATTCCAACATTTCGCGGTGCCTATGAACCAAAGGTTTTTCACTCTTCTCTGAGTGTGACACCTAAACCAGAGGTTTTATGGTGTATAAACTGGCACTAAATGAAAAGGCTGTTGAACCTTATTCAAATTTATAAATACATGTTATTATGTATTTTATTATGAAAACTGACTAAATTAAATGTGATCTTATTTTTAATTGTTTGAACAGAATGATTTATATCGGTAATGACGTTTTCATCTGATATTAATTGTGCAATTGTTAAAATGCCTACCTACACATTTATTGTTTTTGTTTCTGAAATAGACATTTGTAAAAAAAAATTTAAAAATCATGCTTGATTAAAAATAAAAAAAAAAAGATGTAGCCATGTAGCTCCTTTCTGTTATCTGTTTCTAACTTCTTCCAGAGTAAAACTGGCAAAGGCATGTAATTGCCATACAATCATCATTTGTGGGAAAACTTGTATGTTATTGAAAATCTTTATTTTGTTGTCTGTGAATTAATATAATATTTGAAATGGTGTAATGGTGCAAAATATTCTCAAACAATCTGTCTTCTGGTGGCACTACACTGCGCATTTATGCACAGTCAGTATCCCAATGCGCGATCTCAGCTTACTAAGTGATGATGGTGGTTGAAATGGAAAACTGAATACAAAAATCCAGGAACATCTTGTGCCATACAGGGTAAAGTGATTGAGCAATAAAAAATGTGGTTTTATGTATCAGGTTATTGAATGTATCCAACAACATGGTACCAATGATCTGAAATTTCAGGAGTGCTCGCTGAAGGTTTATCAATCTTGTGTATTTTTTTGTTCTTTTTCAATCCTGCATTTCAGTTACTAGAATTTATACTAAAAAAAATAGTTTCTGTTTTTCTTCTAATAACTCGGCCACTCTCAAAAACAAATATTTTTCCATGGTCGAAATGCAAGAAGAATACAAAACTACTGTGATTGCATAGCGATACCTGTAGGGCCATTGTCAATTAGTTC